AAACAGGAGTGCTTCCTTGTCTCTGAGTCACAAGAATATTAATTCTGGATATGGTTGGGGGGGAGAAGGTTTGCAAGTCAGCCTGCAGAGAGCAAATCACTTTACATTTGGAACTGAAATGCTTCCTATGTCTGTTAGTGGAAAAGTGTTGAAGATTTCTGTCTGAAGCCTTTAGTTTGGAGTAGCATTTTAAGTGTCAGGTGTGCAGCTAGCTATTCAGCTTTTAAGAGTCTGTCTGCTCAGATGGATTTCACTTAACTACATTGAAAACCACTCATTAGTCTTTATTTTTCACTGATTTGAGACAGTTCTTTCTGAAACGTTTTCAATGAGTCAAAATAGGCTCATGTCATTAGTAACAGTTGAATTCTGTATTTCCAGGGCAAAGTTAAAAACTGAAGATATTTTTTAAAATATATATAAAAATCATAGCTCTGTAAACAGAAATTTATTTTGATTTATGTCTTCGGGTTGGTGGAAAAGCTGTGATTTTATGTTTTCTTTAAAGAGGAGGGGGTGTCCCATAGTTCATTGTGATGTTACAGATTGTGTTTAACTCACCACTTTTCATCTCTTCACTATGTGCTAGTTTTCTTTGCATTTTTTTTAATGACTTAAGGCTGTGTTTCTTCAACCATTTCTTTAAAATGACCGATATGCAGCCTGCTGTTATGAGGACTGGTTATACCTCTAGCCTTGTCTTCGCACCTCCCCCTGTTTGCTACCAGTTGTGCAGCGATGTGGTGAACCAGAGCAGACAACCAATCTGGTTGAAAAAGAATCTGTTTTCAACCATGTGTGTCAGTACAAAGAAGATGGCAGGAGTATGAGGTTAGAGTCTGAGGGCTTGCTTTCTGGGTCATAATCCAACCCAAGCGATTGTGAAACCATGGCTTTGGAGTTCACATTGATTGTGAAGAAGTACAATTATTTCACTTAAAACAGAACTGTAACAAACTTCCTCAAATGCATTTGACTTCTCTACCAGCCTCAGATCCAGAAATGCCAGGTGCATGATTTTGCAGTTGTGGAAATTTTTTTTTTACTCCATTTAGTTATATTGCCTCACTGTTTCTGCCAAGTGGTGAGTTCTGCCTGGGAAGACTATGTGCCATTAGGTCTTTCTGGTTACAGGAGAGCAAAAATTCATCTGAGAGAATTTTGCTTGCAGACTTAAATTGAACATTTTTTTCCCCCTCTGTAACTTGTTTCTTCTTAGTGTCTTCTCTCTCTGAGATTGTGTACAGAATCACAGAATGTTTCAGGTTGGCAGGGACCTCTGGAGATCACCCAGTCCGACTCAGCTGCTCAAAGCAGGGTGAACTAGAGCAGGTTCCTCAGGCATGTGTCCAGTCGGATTTTGAGTATCTCCAAGGCTGCAGAGTCCACAAACTCTCTGAGCAACCTGTTCCAGTGTTTGATCACCATTAAAATTAAAAAAAAAAAAAATTCTTTTATTTAAACAGAATTTCCTGTGTTTCAATTTGTGCCCATTGACTCTTGTCCTTTCATTGGATGCTATTGAGCGTTGTCTGGCTCAGTCTTCTTTACACTTTCCCATCAGGTATTTATACACGTTGACAAAATCCTCAGCTTACTTGAATTTTACAGGTCTGAAATGCTTTGTGTAAAAAGCTGGTGGGGGAACATGAGTTGATTTCTTTCACCTGTGTGTGATATGGTAAGAAACCGTTACTGCTGTTGGAGATGTAACGTTCCAAATAAAACTTGCTTCATAGGTTGTATTGAGTATGTTACACTCCTTTTATTAAGTGTTGACCGATTTTGGAAATGGCTTACTTGTACAGGTAATTTGGGACTGCCCAGATGGTCCATGCTACCCTTTATTAGCAGTCACTTGGTTTGTTTCTTGTATTGGACATTTCACCAATTTTTGCGCCATGCCTTTCTGTTCGCAGCAGGAGGATTCTCTGTTTGCCACCATGCCACCCCTTTGTCCCATCGGGAGTCATTCCAAGGTGCAAAGCCCCAAATCAGTCACTGGAGGACTTGGAGCTTTTACAAAGGTATTCCTCTCAGCTTTTGTGCTGGGACAAGGAGTGCAGTAATGCCATTCCGTGTTAACTTGTGCCACAAACTGTATAACTTGCAATGCATGTAAAACTGTTACTGGAACCAATATGTGTTCCGTGCCAAGGGCTCTCTAGCTCCTCTCAAAAAATGTCTTGTTTTCTCTTCTTTTCCTGTGGCTCTGCTGTTTCTGTGATCTTTCTTTTTATCTCCTCTTTCATCCTTTCTTGTTTTTCTTTGAATCACTGTCGTATTGAGGCTGACTTTTTAAAGCTATTTTTTAGTGGGATCCAGTAAAAGTAAACTGCAGTAGATTTATCAGGAGCTTCTTAAAAAATGCTATAGTGATTTCTGAATGTCAGATGTTGCCACTTGTGAGTACGTTTCCTTAAATATTACCAACCGGAATTTAAAGTTGTTTCTGGCAATATTAGGTGATCCAAGTAAAAGGTGGAAGAATGCTTCCTACTGGTTACAGTACCTACAGCAGTCTAACGCAAAAAAACCCAGACTTTCTTGAGTTGCTGATCTTAGCAATTAGATTTAGGGCCTGTTGCAGGGAAACGTAAAACATATACACAAGAAAATAATGTCAGCTATAATAATTTACAATATCTATAGCTGTAATATCAGTTGTAATTTTGCAGGATAGGAAAAGAATTGAGGTTTAGAACGTGTTCTGAACAGGAAGGTGATTACAAAGTTGAAACCTTAAAGTGTTCTGGCTCCTTTCTGAGAGGCGGGGCCTGAAGGAGTCAGGTCTGGCCAAGTCCATCGTTAGTATTACTAGTAGTTGCATTATTACTAGCGATTTCTGTGATTCTCTATTTTCTATGAGCACCTCTCAAACCTGGAGTGCTTTGTAAATAGACACCCCCCTCACACACTTGTGTGTTGGGAGTAGCCCTCATCTTGGAGCTGAGTTAGAGAGTCCACCTGGTGGTGTGTAAGAACCATGTCTGAGTTTACTGGCTGTTGCCTGACCTTTCTTGCAGACGGGCTCTTCCAGAAATGATCCCCAGTGATTTAAGGTGCTTGCTTTTCTTATTATTTATTATTTCTTCCTATTGAAAAGGTGATAATAAAGCAGGAGCCGGGAGAGCTGCCCCAGCAATCCCAACCACCGGTGACAGGGACAGCCACGCAGACCTCTGTGCAGCAGTATGTCACTGTAAAAGGGAGCCACATGTTAGCCTTGTCACCACAGAAGCCAGTCGTGAGCGCAGGCGAGGGGACGGTGCAGTCTAAGGTACGAGGCACTTGGGCATCTTTGGTGTGGTGTAAGCTTTCTTGTGGTTTCATTGCAACACATCATGCTTCTCTCAAGGGTGTAGGGTTTCTTCTGTCTCAGACACAGGCAGCAGCACCACCATGGGTAGCTAGTTTCCCCATGTGCATGGAGTGGCTCATACCATGCTTACCTGTAGTCCCTCAGAAGGGAGCAGGGTAGGAAGGTGCTATTGCACTTTGTCGTGTACAGGGAACATCTCCCACTTCTGTCTAACCCATTGCAACAGTGGGGTGGGGGTGGTTTTCAACTGGAGCCTGTCAACCCATCAGCTGCCATCGTCACCTCTTGCTGAAACTCGTCCAAGTCTTTCTGTAGGAGGAGGCAAATTCTTTCTTTGGACTGCAGGCCTGCAACAAAAAAGAACAGGACAAATAGGGAGTGGGGTGGAGGCTGAGCCAGCACTAGCATGAGGTGGAAGCAGTCCTACCTGAGTGGCAACTCAAGGGTTTTATTATAGGAGTCTGTGCCAATGCAGTGCTGCTATGACAGGGGTGACACAGCTTCTGAGAAGGCACGGTAACTGCAGTGACGAGATGACAGATGTGTCAGAAACTGCCTCCATTCTTGCCTGTTTCCATTGTGAATAGAGTCAAATCATGTGCCAAGCACAAGAGACTACATGGGGAGCTTTCACTTTTGCATAAGTACATATTTGTATTTGCAACAGTTCATTGTCCTTTTTAACTGCCTTATTTGCCTGTTTGAGCAGGTACGCAAACTCGTGTTTGCCTGCAGTTACTGTCAACACATAAAATTGAAGCACTTTGTGGATTCTGCTTTGAGGCCATAGTTTTCCCAGGGAGTCTGTTCCCATGAATGTGTTGAAACTAAATTTCTGGATCTCTGTGCTTTGCCAAGGCAAGCTTTATCTTCAGCTGGAATTAAGCCATTGCTTGTATATCAGAAAAAAATAGAAGTGCCCTGTAATTTGAATGTGCTTAATCTTGTGGGTGCTCTGAAATCCCAGTTGTGTTTAACAGTTTATCTATTCACTGGGGATTGGCCTCTTGCCAATTTAATTTTGTTTCCAAATGAGTAGCTTTTATATGTGACTAGACATGTATAAAGTGTCCTGAAATGTCTAGAGATGGAGGAAGTGTATGAGCTAGAATTCACATGATTGCTTTTGCCAGCAGCACATCGTGCAATATTTATTTGTTGCAGGTTGTTGGCGTTCCAGTTGGTTCTGCTTTACAGTCGACAGTGAAACAAGCGGTGGCTATCAGTGGTGGCCAGATACTTGTGGCAAAATCTAGCTCTTCGGTAGCGAAGGCTGTTGGTCCAAAGCAGGTCGTGACTCAAGGTGTAGCCAAAGCCATCGTGAGTGGAGGTGGAGGGACAATTGTTGCTCAGCCTGTGCAGACTATAACAAAGGCACAAGTTTCTTCCACAGGTGCTCAGAAGAGTACATCTCAAGGCTCAGGTAGAGTAATTTTACACCTTGTTAATAGCTCATGATGGGTAGACTTTGGGGCACTATAGTGATTTCTTCAACTGCAAAATAATTATGTGTGATTGAGAAACTTCAAAATGAGTAGAGAAGTCTGTAGGGCAATTCAGGCTGACTGAGATTAGTAATAAAGATGTTAACTCGTTATCTGCAAGGGGGGAAGAGGGAGCACAAGTACTTTAAAACATGCAGTCTTCTGTGAGTGGATATCAGACATATGCTGGGGAATGTGCTAGAGACTCAGTCAACTTTCATGGCGCCAGGTCTCATATTTTGCCCAACATTGTGGGTCTTAGATGCTCAAAGGGCTCCACGTAAATCCAACCAACAAGAGCCAAACTGTCCTTATTGCATCTTCACTTCTTCCTCAGTGCTTACAGTTACGGGATTGTGGGCAGAAGCACCCTGCCTGCTTCTGCACACAGCTGTCTTTAGCTGAGCATGTTAGCTCATGTTAGACTGTTTGAAAGGTGTTGTGTGGCCTCCAGACTGGAGTAAGCCTGTAGACTCCATGGCTGTGCTGCTTTGGCCTGCAGCTGCAAGTGGTACTGCATGCAGAGAGATTTTTTTCTTTCAGACCTATTCAAAAAAGTGTTTGTGCGTCACTGGTGAAATTAATCTGCGGTTAGGCCAGCTAAGTATGGATTATCAAAGGCTAGCTGCATGTCACTCCTAGTACTTTCATCCTGTGCAGATTTCGTGCATAGTACCTTCTGCAAGCAGTGGTTTTATTTCTTTTTATTCTTTCTTTCTAGTGATGGCCACGCTGCAGTTACCAGCCACCAACCTGGCAAACTTGGCAAACTTGCCACCAGGCACCAAACTGTACCTCACCACCAACAGCAAGAATCCTTCTGGGAAAGGAAAACTGCTTCTGATACCCCAAGGAGCCATACTGCGAGCCACAAATAATGCTAGTTAGTCTTGCAGGGAAATCTAATGAGTTAAATAATGTAATCACTGCATAATTAATGTTTGGCATTTTTGCTATAAAGCATCCTGGTACTGTGGAAGTCAGTAATGGGATGGGGTTTCTTTGTTCACAACACAGTATGTGGTACTTTTTAAGACTGAGATCTCACAAGTGCCTTCTGTTTTGGATGAAACTGCATTTCATGCAGTGCTCTCAACATCTTTCTCTCTGTGCTAAAAGCAGTGTAATTCTCATCAAAATTCAGCAAAGGGTTGTCTTTAACTCTTCATTGTGATCTGTAGGAAGGCAGCTGTATTTTCTGATGTAGAACTGAGGTGGATTTGAACACAGTTGTGAAAGCTATTAATAAGTCATGGAATGACACCCTGGAGAAACTAAAAACATAAGAAACTAACTTTGAAAAGGACAAGATACTGTATCTGGAATGAGGGAAAGAAATAATTTTCAATATTGATACAAGGTTTGGCCCTAAGCCTTTGAGCCCAGCAGAAACACTTTGTTGCTAATGGGCTTGTGAATCGAACTTGCTGTGAAATACCTGGAGAATAACATTGCTAAAAGAGTTCCAGTGGGTGATACTTTGTTTATAGCGTGCTATTGCTGTTGGGAAAGAATACTGCAGGTTTTGGACTGTGTAGATGCAGAGTTTTGTTGTGAGCCTTCTCCAGAATACTCCTTTTGAGGCTGGGGGTTGGTATGGGAGATGAATTGGGTGTAAACTTCTTGCTCCCAGTTCTGATACTGGCAGTGAGTATCTGGCAGGTATTATTCAGTTGAATATATAAGGCTGTAAATACCGGCAACATGGCAATAGAGTATATGTCACTGAGAAAGTATTTTTGGGCTGCAGAGCTTGTGATGGCAGCCCCATTGCTTGAGATTTAGAGAGGCAGCTGGGGCAGTCCAGCCTTGACAAGGAAGTAATCTGACAGACTTCAAGGAAGAGCAAATACTTGTGATTTTTATGGCAGAGCCATAAGTATTCTTTTTACCCTTGTTTCTTAATGAGAGACTGCAAAAAAGCCTATGTCTAGGCTGTTGTTTCTGGAGGCAGAGCAATATCAAAGTGTCGCTGCAAATTACCACTGCTCGGTATCCACGATCTAATACTCTGTTAACAAAATTGTATTGGAACAGCCAACAAAAGTAAAATTAAGAAGCCAGTGGGATTCAGAGTGTTTCTAGGGCTTTTGCTGCAGATTTATAACCTGCAAAAGACTGATGAAGACTGTTCATCTGTTGGACAGCATCTTCTTTTGATAGAAAACTTAAAACAGCCTGAAATGAGCTTTGCTTGCCCACCAGTCCTCCTTATTTTCCCCCATAGCCCCTTTCGTTCATGGCATTTGCTGAGCTGTAAGGGAGGACAGCAGCACATCTGAACTGTGCTGTACTGGCTAATAATATTATTCAGCTGCAAAACATGTGGCAGCAAGCATCTTGCAATGTGTTTTCAATTACTTGTATATACAGGGATGCTTTAGCAGCTGACAGTGTCTGGTTACCAAAGGGTCAAGCTTTTTCTTCTGGTTACAGGTCTCCAATCTGGTTCTTCTACAAATAGTGGAGGAGGAGCAACAACCCAAAGCACAAGCAGTAACTTGTCGCAGCACCTCACCTATACATCCTACATCCTGAAGCAGACACCCCAGGTCAGTGGTGTAAGCATCTTAACTGAAGTAGATTGACAGTGATAGTATGTGGATATCCTGTGGTTCTGTAGTAACGTGAAACATTGTTGGACTATGGGGACTAGATCCTCTCTAACAGCTCTTGCCTTTCTCCCCTTTGCCAGGCACCTGCTTTACTACTTGCTGTTGCTATTGGCACATCTCTGCCCCTCACCTCCCCTTGCAGGGTGGTACCCTCACGGCTCCTTGCGGGCTAAGAAAGCAGCACTGAGTAAGACCAGGGCAAGCAGTGGGTGGAGAAGAGGCAGAGTCTCCAAAGGGTCTCCAAAACAAGAGAGGTGATATGACAGAGATGAAGAGTTACCTTACACAGTAGGAAGTATAAGAGTTGGAGGAAGACAGTAGAAATATGAGAATGAAGGAAGAGTGGGGTAACAAAACCTTATGAAGTTCAACAAAGACAAATGTAAGGTCTTGCACCTGGGAAAACATAATCCAGGAGTGCAGCACAGGCTGGGATCTACCCAGTTGTGGAGTAGCTCTGTGGAAAAGGACCTGGGGGTCCTGGTGGACAACAAGCTCAATATGAGGTCCTTTCCAATCTTAATGATTCCTAGTTTTTACTTTCATTATAAATAATCCAGCCACCAAGCCAGGAAACATGAAATGCTACTCTTCCCTTAATTGGTTTAGTGGTGGACTTGGTAATGTTAGGTTAATGGTTGGACTGGATGATCTTAAAGGTCTTTTCCAACCTAAACGATTCTATGATTCTATGAGTGAACAGTGTGCTGCTGCAGCAAAGAAAGCAAACAGGATGCTGGGTTGCATCGACAAGGGCATCACCAGCAGAGATAAAGAAGTTATTATCCCACTCTGCTCAGCCCTTGTCAGGCCACACCTGGAATACTGTGTTCAGTTTTGGTCCCCTTGGTCCCCATATACAAAAAAAGATGTGGACAGGCTGGAGAGGGTCCAGAAAAGGGCCACAATGATCAAAGGACTGGGAAGCCTCCCATATGAGGAAAGGCTGAGAGAACTGGGTTTGTTCAGCCTTGAGGAAAGAAGGCTTATGGGAGACCTTATCACCATGTTCCAGTATTTAAGGGTGGCTACAAAGAAGATGGAGACTACCTTTTACAAGGAGTCATGTGGAAAAGACAGGGGTAGCAGGTACAAGTTACTCCTGGGGAGATTCCAGTTGGACACAAGAGGAAGATTTTTCACAGTGAGAACAATCAGCCATTGGAATAATTTCCCCAGGGAAGTGGTGGATTCCCCAACATTGGACACTTTTAAGACTCAGCTGGACAGGGTGCTGGACCATCTTGTCTAGACTGTGCTTTTGCCAAGAAATGTTGGACCAGATGATCCTTGAGGGTCTCTTCCAACCTGTTATTCTATGATTCTATAATTATTGTAGAGAAATGGCAAGGCTGAGTCAAGTAAGGAAGAAAAATGAGAAAACAGAAGATTGTGTGAAGGCGTCCATATGTGATAGGGAGTGAATGAAACCTCTGAAGGGTAGCAACTGAACACTGGTGAGAAGCAGGCAGGGTCTCAGGTGGTAGGCTATTAGAGTGCACACTTCCAGTTGTCACTGATTTCTGTATGCTGAGCTCTGAATATATAGCCTTTGTGGGTGGGACTAAATACGTTTTGAAGTGAGAAGGTCAGAGAATGTCTTGATTTCTCCTTTTTTGCCTAGCCCAGCAATAGCTTCTCTGATCTTGCATGCTAAGCAGCATTTGTCACAAAGAATAAACTTAAAGAGCATAAAGTGTGTTAAATTGTAGTGGATGCCTCTGACAAGACAGGAAACTGGCTTTTTCACCCCTTAGCTTGCATCAGAAAGTGGTGTTCTGCACCAAGAAGAGAAGGCTGTGTCCAGCTCTTAGGGCAGAAGGTTCCACTGTAATTAGCAGTGCTTTGTTTTAGAAGATTAAATGTTGTTGTTCATTACAGCTACAAGCTTGTATCCTGTATCGAGACTCCTAGATTTCTGTTGACTTTTAACTGCATTTCAAAGTGCTAACTTCCCTAACTTACTTCTGGAGCAGGGCACCTTTCTGGTCGGCCAGCCTTCTCCTCAGAGTTCTGGGAAGCAGCTGACTCCAGCTTCAGTTGTTCAGAGCAATGTAGGAGTCGGAGCATCTTCCACACAAGGACAAGCACTAAAAGTCATAACTGGACAGAAAACAGCTCTATTTACACAGGTAACGTGCAAATGATTTGTTTCTCTTACCAGTCAGCATTTTGTCAGATAAAGTATAGGAACCACAGCCACACATTATGAAAGGTTTTCCTTTTGTACTTGTTTGGTTTGTTTTGGTTTTTGTACAGTTATGATGCTGGCTGTACTATGATAAGGAAAGCGCACGAAGGCCTACTTTCATATGCAGATATTGGGCCACGGTTTTTCAGCTTTATTTCTGTTCTCAAAGTGGGTCATGTGTAAGCTTGGGTTGCTAGTTAGTAAATGTGTTATGGGATTTCTTAGTGAAATGGAATTAGAAAAGTGAATACAGTCAGGTGCAAAAATGTGCTTAAATATTTGAACCTTAGAAATGGGTCACCCGCTAAAGTTCTTAAAAAAATTTTTGGTTTGGTATCTGTCAAAGGTCTGTCTTTTAAACACTACAAAGTGGGTCCCTATGAAATTCAGACCCCCAAGAGTACTTGTAATTGATCATCCAAAGTTCAAGATTGAGAGGCATATTTTTGCAAAGTCAACAGTTTGATGAAGTTGATGTCTGAGGTTGTAATTTTGTTCTATTGCCACAATTTTCCTTTTTCAAAAGTCTTTTGAAAATATTTTTCAGTAACATAAAATGCATTTGTCTTGTTTGTTTTGGTTATGTTGGGTTTTTTTTAAGTAATTTTTAAAAAAATCCAAACAAATATACCTTTTTTCCTTATGCTGAATTCTTTTTCAAAGGCTGCACCCAGTGGACAGACATCACTGATGAAAATATCAGATGGGTCTATAAAATCAGTGCCTGCCTCATCCCAGCTGTCCAAACCTGGCACCACTGTGCTGAGAGTATCAGGAGGCGTTATCACCACGGCTGCTGCTCCTGCCATGGCCCTTCCCACAAATGGGGTGGCCCAGGTGAGAAACAACTTGGCCAATATTCTGTAATGTAACTTTTGCACTCTAACCAGTATAATCCCCAGGAAAGGACTTCTGCTCTGCTGCTTTTTTTCCCTGTTGATATTCTTCTTTTCAGACAGCTTTGCTGGTGGGTGTGTTCTTATTTGTGTTCCAGCACGATGCACGCAACTCTTTCTGTTGGCTTCTTTGTTTGGCACAAAGTAATATCTGTGAAGAAACAAGGGGAGAGAGAAACTAAAACTTGTGCTTTCTTGCTTTTAATGTTGTTAAAATTCAGGTAGGCAGGAAAGGCTTTATCTGGAACAGCTTTTGCAGTCATACAGATCAGATTTTTGGGTACACAGCCTTTAAGCACCAAATCTGTTGCTGGCACAACAGTTTGCAGAAGAATGTGAAATGCATGAAGCTCTGTATCCAGCAAGCCAGTGAAAGCCAGCAGTAACTAGCCTGTAGGTTGCTCCTCTGAGATCACAGGCTGTCCATGATGCTTAGTGCCCAATTTGCCATCAATAGATTTCAGAGGCTGGCAGTCGCCAGGGTTCGTGGTCCTTGGGTCCTGAGTGTGCTCAAAGGATGTCACTCTTCTCCACCCCAGGGAAGTTGTAACCAAGTCCAGCCTTGGAACAAGGTGCTTGGACATAGAGTGAGGTTGGAAGTCCCCAGAGTCCTGAGAGAATTGGCTGATGTAGTTGCCAAGCCACTCTCCATGATATTTGAAAAGTCATGGCAGTCAGGTGAAGTCCCTGGTGACTGGAAGAAGGGGAATGTTGTGCCCATTTTTAAAGAGGGAAGAAAGGAGGACCCTGGGAACTACTGACCTGTCAGCCTCACCTCTGTGCCTGGGAAGATCATGGAACAGATCCTCCTAGAAGCTATGCTCAAGCATATGGAAGACAGGGAGGTGATTCGAGACAGCCAGCATGGATTCACCAAGGGCAAGTCCTGCCTGACCAACCTAGTGGCTTTCTATGAAGGAGTGACTGCATCAGTGGACAAAGGAAAAGCAATGGATGTCATCTATTTGGACTTCTGTAAAGCCTTCAACACAGTCCTCCACCTCTCTAAACTGGGGAGATATGGATTTGATGGGTGGACTGT